TTCTTTAGCCTCTCATCAATCTTCTCCCAGATTTTAGCACCTTCAGCAGGTGGTGTTGTGTCATCATTTTTCTGGGGAGTCGCAGTAGCACTGCCTTGTGTTAACTCTTCAGCCTTCTTTGATATTCTCTTTGCAGCAGCAAGGGAAATTTCTCCATTCATTTTGATTTTCTCCTCTTCATCTCCAATTGGTACTTTGGCTTCCTTGCACAAACGAGTTATTAAACCTGGAAACCACAAGTAACCACTGTTAGCCTTGACACAAGCCAAGATTTCAGAATGAATAATTCGACCTACATCAATAGGCCTTCCATCCAACAAACAACAGAGCAAGACTTCTCTATCCTTAGAAACCGTCTCAGTGTGAGACGTGGGCATCAATCTATTTTTCAGAAAATGATACCACACTCTAGCCTCAGGCTTAAGTGTGGTTCTTGAAAAAGACATATGTTGTTGGGGTGTCACGGTCCACTCGGTCCCTAGCCTACAACATTCTTCTAGCACTTCTTGCAATTTTTCTTGATCGGAGGTGTTCTTCCACTCATAGAATTCATCCACAACCTTTGGCAAGTTATAGATTTTTCGAATAGTGGCAGCACTAAATGGTATAGCCTTCCCTCTCACTTCCAGTTTCGATGGTCTTCCTTGGGGTATATTGGTGTAGAATTCTCGGACAATGGGGAGTTCACCATCTTGCTCATGTAAACAGAAGGTTTTCCATTGGTGAGCCTCGATGATGACCAAAATATAGGAAGGGTAGGCATTGGAGTCAAGAGAGTCCTTGAAAAAACCCTTGTCTGGTGATGGTGTCCTCTTGACCATGATCTCATGCCTCTGCATTGCTCTTTCGGTGGAGAAAGAGGGGACTGGTTCTGATTGAGAGCTGCTCCCACTGGTCCTTGCCCTAATTTTGCCACTTCGAGTGCTTAAGGTCTCCATTGCTCCACTCCAAACTCAGTTTGGTTGCCTCGGGTTAAAGAAAGAAAGAAAAGAGGTGGGGAACTCCAAACTCAAGCCTTTGCTATGGCTTGAGTTTTTGCAAGAATTTTTCTTGAAGATGGAATTGGAAGAGAGAAATTTTTACTCAGAAAATCAATACAAACACGATAATGAAGGTAGAAAACATGGAACCTGGCTTTTATATTGGGGTAAAATGGTCAAGGGGTCACAACGGTTCACTGTTGATGGCTGGGTGAATTGGATGGTGATGTATCAGGATGTGCGTACAAGTCTACCAGCTGTGTCGTTTTATTCCCAAGTCGGTGATGATCTGGCAGCTTCTGAAAAAGTTACCTTTGGGCTTGCTGTACATCATATTGACTTCATTTGCTGCATCTGAATTGGGCCCAAAGCTTGCTTGGCCTGATTCCTTTATTCCAACCCAATTGTTATGTGTTTTAATTTCCCATGTCCTTGTGCTGCAACCTAGTTCCTATATTTTTATTATGTGGATTTCAACACCCTTTTTTCCCTGCAAAACATCTTATTAAAATTTAAAAAGAACATGAGTACTAACTTATCCTAATTCTAATAATTGAAATACGAAATTTAAAATTGCAATAAATTAAAATACTGAAATTAAAAAGCGTATAATTTAAAAACTTCCTAATTAAACTTTGGGCTGCCTCCCAAAAGCGCTTGTGTTATAGTCTTCAGCCTGACTTTTTCCTCATTGGATTCAACTTGGCTCAGTCAAGGAGATAATGGTTGTGTCCTTGATATTTTGATCTCCCCAATAATGCTTCAGCCTTTGTCTATTAACCTTAAATGTGCTCCTATCTTTTTCATTCATAATTTCAATAGCTCGATAGGGATACACATGTGCCACTTTAAAGGGTCTTGTCCACTTTAAAGGGATACAGATGTTCAAATTACTTGCTGCAAAAATGACTTCCTTCATCACTTATGATTGCTCTTGGTGTGCCAAACCTTGTGAAGATATTCTTTTTGAGAAACTTCCAAACCGCTTTGGAGTCATTGGTGGGTAATGCTGTTGCTTCTACCCATTTAGAGACGTAGTCCATTGCCACCAAGATATATTGATTCCGAAATGAAGGTGGGAATGGTCCCATGAAATCCAGCCCCCAAACGTCAAATAGTTCAACTTCCAAGATAGGATTGAGAGGCATTTCATGTCTCTTTGATACATTTCCAGTTCTTTGGCACCTATCACAACTTGAAACAAAAACATGTGAGTTCTTAAATAAAGAGGGCCAGTAAAAACCTGATTGCAGCACCTTTGCTGCTGTTCTGACTCCAGCATAGTGGCCACCATAGGGAGACGAGTGACAATGTTCAAGTATAGATTGCATCTCCTCTTCCGGCACACATCTTCTTAAGATTTGATCTGGGCATCTCTTAAATAAGTATGGTTCATCCCAAAGATAGTACTTACAGTCATGGATGAACCTCTTCCTTTACTGTGAGTTCTTATGATTTGGCATTATTCCACTCACCAGAAAGTTTGCTACATCAGCGTACCATGGTGTTATAGCATAGTCAATAGCAAACAGCTGTTCATCTGGGAATTCATCCTTTACTGGTTCTTCATCAACTTCTGACCTTCCATCATCCAGCCTTGATAGGTGGTCTGCAACTTGGTTCTCTGTACCTTTTTTATCTTTAATCTCCAAATCAAACTCTTGAAGTAAAAGAATCCACCTTATCAATCTTGGCTTTGAGTCCTTTTTGTCCACCAGATATTTGATGGCTGCATGGTCAGTAAAAACAATCACTTTAGCACCAAATAAATAAGATCTAAACTTTTCAAATGCAAAAACAACAGATAAAAGTTCTTTTTCAGTGGCTGTATAATTAAATTGTGCCCCTGTAAGTGTTTTACTAGCATAATAGATAAGATGGAATATCCTATTCTTTCTTTGACCAAGCACTGCACCAATGGCACATTCACTAGCATCACACATGATTTCAAATGGTGAAGTCCAATCGGGTGCAACAATTATGGGTGCTGTAATAAGCTTTTGCTTCAATTCTTCAAATGCTGCCTTGCATTGATCATCAAATATGAATGGGGTGTTCTGCCCTAGCAATCTGCATAGAGGTCTTGAAATTTTTGAGAAGTCCTTGATGAACCTCCTATAGAATCCAGCATGTCCCAAAAAGCTTCTGATTCCTTTGACATTAACAGGTATGGGCAGCTTTTCAATCGCGAATATCTTTGCTCTATCCACTTCTAATCCATCCTTTGATACTTTGTGACCCAAGACTATACCTTCCTTTACCATGAAATGGCATTTCTCCCAATTCAGCACGAGGTTAGTCTCTTCGCATCTCTTGAGTACCTTTGATAAATTCTCAAGACAAGATTCAAATGATTCTCTAAAGACCGAGAAATCATCCATGAATATTTCCACAAAATTCTCCACCATATATGTGAATATTGCCATCATACACCTTTGGAAGGTTGCTGGTGCATTGCATAATCCAAATGGTATTCTTCTAAAGGCAAATGTTCCATATGAGCAAGTAAATGTGGTTTTGTCTTGATCTTATGGTGCTACAGCAATTTGGTTGTAGCCCGAATATCCATCTAAAAAGAAATAGAACTCCTTCCCCGCTAGTCTGTCCAACATTTGGTCAATGAATGGCAAGGGGAAGTGGTCCTTTCTTGTAGCATCATTAAGCTTCCTATAATCCTGGCATATTCTCCATCCGGTCACAGTTCTTGTTGGTATAAGCTCATTTTTCTCATTCTTCACAATTGTGATTCCTCCTTTCTTTGGTACACATTGCACAAGACTTATCCATTGGCTATCTGAAATGGGGTATATTATTCCTGCATCAAGCCATTTAATCACTTCTTTCTTGACAACTTCTTTCATTATAGGATTCAGCCTTCTTTGAGGCTACACAGTGCTGTCGTAGCCTTCCTGCAACAATATTTTATGTGTGCAGAACGTAAGACAGATTCCTTTTATGTCTGTAATGCTCCATCTGAGGGCTCTTTTATGCTCCTTTAATACTAGTAGTAACTGCTTCATTTCTGCATCAGAGAGAAAAGATGAAATAATAACAGGTAAAGTGTTTTCATCTCCTAAATATGCATATTTAAGATGCTGGGGCAGTGGCTTGAGCTCAAGGATTGGAGGTTCTTCTATGGATGGTTTGAGTGTCTTTATCACTCTTTCTCCAAGAGATTCAAAGTGTTTCTCTTTGTATGGCCTTATTGGTTGGGAATCCATCTATGCAAGGCACCCTTTTATTTCCTCTTCATCTTCTGCACATTCCTCTGCTATAGCAACATTCAGTGGTTCTGTTTCTGTTTGCTGCTTGAGTTGCTGTAGCAGAACTGCATCAATGGTGTCTATGCTAGCGCATTCTTCCACTTGTTCAGGATACTTCATGTCTTTGAGTACATTGAATGTAACTTGCTCATCATTGACTCGCATAGTCAGGTCTCTCTTTTCAACATCAATCACTGCTCGTCCAGTGGCTAAGAATGCTCTTCCCAAAATGATGGACACTTCCTTATCGGCTTCAAAGTCAAGAACAATAAAGTCAGCGTGAAAAATGAACTTATCCACTCTTACCAACACATCTTCAATTTTTCTTTCTGGATAAGTTATTGATCTATCAGCCTGATAGTGTATGTCATGTACTATTTTATTCACTAGTTAATTTTTTCATTGAATTTTCAAGCAAGATTTTAAGGAGCTATAAAATTAGCATACTAATGTAAAACGAGAATATTGTAAATGAACATTATTAATAGAAATAAATAAATATTATCAAGGGGGGTTAATATATTATAACGTTAGCATCAAGAGATGAAGAGAAAATGTCTTGTCTCTTCTCCGTAACTTTTTTTGGTCTTGTAATTATGTTGAGTTGATTTTATTTATTACGTGTTATTTTTCAAAAGAGATTCCAAATATTATTAAAATGCCAATGATAAATATAATAAGTTTGTTGCATTTGTTAGTCAGTTATTTTTCAAAAGAGTTTCCATAAATTGTTAAAATGCCAAGTTTTAGGGAAATGACAGCACGTGTAGCAACTAACAATAAGCAATGCGCTCCTCGTAAAGATTCATCGAATCTTGCCCAATCTCTCTCTTTCTCTGTCACTTCCCTTTTCCTCTGCATCCATCACCTGTTTTCCCCAAATTCTAGGTATCAAACTTACAAGATACGAGGTTTGTTTCTTGAATCTAACTTCATTCTTGTATCTATCGATTTTTTTTTCTCAGTTTCTCTTCATTTACGCATGTAACTTTCTGATTCAATCGAAACCCATTTGCGAATTTTTCTCAATTTCAATGTTGTTTACTCAGATCCCATCATGGCTGAGCGTTTGATTGTTGCTTGTGTGATGTTGAGGTTGTGGGCCGTTGGTTTCGTGGTTTGTCGATCACTACTACTACAATGATTTGGGTTCTGGGACTTGCATTTTTTTGTCCAATTCCTCGAGATTCAAATCAAGTTTTAATTTTCCAGCTTTGTTTTAGATTTTGTATTTTGTGTTATATTGATGCGTGGAATAGTTTGATTTTATGTGGCGGAATGAGTGGAGAGCTTTCAGGACTTCAGGATTTGTGAATGCAAAGTTGGGGTATAGAATAAGTAAACGCTTAGGGAAAATCTGGGGGGGGGGGGGGGGGGGTAGAAAATGAAGGCTAAGTTGAGAGCATCTTGGTTTCTCATAAGCAAGAATTATGAAGTAATTGATATTGCAGATGTAGTTTTCCATGTAGGGGAAGAAACAGAATGCATTGTACAGGTCTTTTTTCTTTTTCTTTTTTGGCTTTGTTTATGAGTCACCTATAAGGTTGGTCATCAATCATTAAACTAATTTTTGGCTCATCAACATCTGAACCTGTCTCTTTTCAAGAATCATTAACCTTTTGGTTGCCACTTTTCTTCCAATCGCCCCCTCGCACCCTGTCTTCCATTACTGTTCAAAACCATTTGAATGCAACCTATATATGTTGGAGGTTATTTATTGTTTGAGATAGAAGTTATCTAAATTGCTTCTTCTGGATGAGCTGCGGAAGAGGAAAGAATCTGATGAACATTCTTGTATTGACAATCTGACCTTGTGGTTAAAAAATAGCATGCCATTATCTGAGTCCATGATTAATCATCCTGTATAGAAAGTCTTCTGGTGGGTTCGGGGAGGACTGGCTTTATTGTCTTTTTAAAATGTCTAAAAAATTTTCTGAGATGTCCAGACATGAGGCCCAATGTTGTTATGCTCTTTGACATAATGACGTATGTAATTCTGTAAGGGAAAAGCAATAAGATAATGATAATCATCATATTTGATGCTACATTCTTTTTCTATGTATGAGAAATATGCTGAAAAAGGGAGTGTTGACAATGCATTCTATTGAGGAGAAGGGAGTGCCTAATTTGTTGCTAAAACAAAAGAAATTGACAAAAAAAAAAAAAAAAAAGTAGTGCATGCTATTAATGGGTTATCTTACTTTCGTTATCAGAATGTTCTTGAGTTTATATCCCAGAGTTTAATATGTGATGCTTACTTTCAATGAAGGACAGATAACTATTTAGTAAAGATAAGGATGAAATAATGTGATGGTATTTGCAATAAACACAATAGTATGCTTATAAGATTACAGTGTTTGAGGTTAGTTGCTCAATCTATTTTCACTTTTAGATTATGTGTCTAATACCTAACCTAGTTGATAATTTGCTAATACAAAAGAGGTGAATTTTGGAGTAAGGAAGCTTCATTGTGTGGTACTCTTTTAATGTCTGGTATTCAATTTAGCTAAAATCTTTCAAGCATGATGTTTCGAGTTTGATGTGAGAATCAATGCTTGTTAAAAAATTTAATCATGTCTTTTCTTTGTTTACTAATACTCAAATCTTATTTCTGAAACAAACTGCTGCTGAAGGTTGCAAGAGCCACAATGAGTCTGGCATGTCTTGTGTGCCACAGCGTGGATAGTCCATCACCATCACACTCTTTCAGGAGTTACTCTGTTTCAAGTTCAGAAAACCAAGGAAGATGTTATGCTGTAGCAACCTGCTTAACCAGGAAACTTTCTCTTCCACCACATACAGTACACTCTTTTCTTGCATCTTCATCGTCCAAAGTCACCCCACAACCTCCTGTTTCAAGTAACAACGAGATACCTAGTACACCACGGCTTGTACGAAGTCATGCTGTAACGAGAGACCAAGTCAGAGATTGGAATTTTGATGAAGTTGTAATGGAGCACTAGTCCAAAATGTAAGATAAAGACTAGGGAATTTTCTTGTGGGATAGTTTAGAGTATGCTACTGCAATCTTGCCCCTTTAAATTTTGTTATGGGTGCAATTAATCACTTTCTCCAGTTTTCTTGTAAGAATTCCAGCATTTGTAGCCATCAAGAATTTTTAAGGCTAGATTCTATTTGATTTGCCATTTTCCTTTTGGTTCACTACTGCAATTTAAAAACAAAAAATATTCATCTAAAAGTTTACATTGAACATAGACTACTAAAGAAACCCACCAACACATTTTTGCAAGAAGAAATTGTTTATTTTGGATTTTTTTTTTATTTTTTTCTGGCACTCTTACAATAGTACTATTCTATTGCTTATATTTATCAACCATCGAGGAAGTTTTGTAATTACATGAAATATACTATGTTTTCTGGATAAGTAAAATTAACAAATATAAGTTAAAGATAAATATTTAAAATTATAAACGAAATAAATATACATAATTAATTTAACTATAATTTAAAAGGGATACCAAAAAACCAAAAAAACAAAAAACCAAAAAAAAAAAACTATAATTTAAAAAGAATAGATAAAAAAAAAAAGATATGTATAAATTTAAAAAATTTAAAAATGACATGTATTAATTTTAATTAAAAATGACTAAAAATTAAATTATACTTAAGATAATATTTTCAGAATATAATACATGTTACTTTATTCACCTTGAAAGGCTGAACTTCAAAACTAAAATTTAGTAGTTGTACTTGGATGAGAATCTGTGCTGTGAGAATTTAAAACACAAAAGATTAGAATTTCAATTGCAGGAATTTAAAATCTATCCATCTCTTTTCGCGTCTGATTCTTCCTCTCGCTTTTCAGGTCAGCACAGGAGATGGTGGTGAAATTCTTTCTCTTCTACATGATTTTTACAGCGAGTTATCATGTCTTTTTTTTTTTTTTTTTTTGGTAATAAGACTTATCATGTTTTTAATGAGTGACAATGTGAATTGTGTGGATTTTAAAATTTAAAATTTAAAATTTCACATAACATTTTTTTTTGGATACTAACATTTTTTTAATTTAAAATTTTACAAGATTTTCCCACGTGAAAATTGTGTGTTTAATATTAAATAAGTAAAGTTCTATTTCATTAAGTTGTTAATTTCTTTCACTTTTAGTGATATACAAAAACTTTGATTCTGAAGGGTATTTTAATCGCATTATTTTAATGATCAGAATATTAAAGAACAACTCCGCTTTAAAAAAACCAATTATATGGATCAGAATTCAGAACCATCAAATGGAGGTAGAACCATATGCACAAATTGGGCATGTTTGACTACTGTTTTTATAAATAATTTTTTGATTTTTTAAAAAAAGGTAAATTTTTTTTGATAAGACTTGTTTTGTAGAAGTAATTCTAAAGATTATAATTATTTAAAAAATATTTAGAGAAAGTTATTTTTATTTTGTGTTTTGATTTTTAACTTTCAAAATAAAAAAACACAGAAAACACATATTTCATTAATTATTCTACAAAATAATTTTAAGGATAAAAAAAACACATAACACAATGAAACAGATCCCGCGGTTCTTGGTTTTCAATTCTGTTACCATTCATGGCATGAGTATCTTTAAAACGTTACTCTACTCTGAGTTGGAACGAGGCAAACTCTTCAGCAAGATCTTATACCTGCATTATCACCGGAAAAAATGATGAAGATCACATTAATGAAAACACCGGTGATAGGAATGAGATCATATCTAGGGTTGAAGGAAATAGAAATGAGATCCTATCTAGGGTTGAAGGAAAAGTTCAAAAAGTTACAGAAAAGAAAGAAAGAAAAGAATCTAGCAACTTATTACTTGTTGTTATACAACTTATATATGTGTTGAGATATATGATCCCACGTTGGTTATATGAGCAACTAATGTGGAGTTTATAAGGCCTTGGACACTCTCACCCTTTGAGCTAGCTTTTGGGGTGGTATATCCCAAGGTTCTTTACATGGTATCAGAGCTTGAGTGACCATAAGGTCGCGAGTTCGATCCTCACCGCCCCCCACTTGTGGAATTAAATAAAAAAAAGCACAAAAGATAAACTAAAAATTGGGCCTGTGCAATATCCACACTTCAAGCCCAAAGGGCTCTTGTGTGAGGGGGTGTGTTACAGAATAATATAAATCATTAAAAAGGCCCTCACCCAACACCTTAAGATTTTGGGTTGAAGTGATTCTTTACATGGTATCAGAGCCTCGCCGCCCCCCATATTCTCTTGTGGACTTTCTTAGCACAGGTAGGCTGGGTCTGTTGCATCTTCCACTCTTCAAGCCCAATGGGCTGCGTGTTGAGATATATAGTCCCGCATTGGTTGTATGTGCAACTAATGTGGAGTTTATAAGGCCTTTAGGCCTTGGGCACTCCCACTCTTTGAGCTAGCTTTTGGGGTGGTGTATCCCAAGGTTCTACACCACCCCAAAAGCTAGCTCAAAGGGTGGGAGTGCCCAAGGCCTTATAAACTCCACATTAGTTGCTCATACAACCAATGTGGGACCATATATCTCAACACGCCCCCTCACACGAGAGCCCACTGGATTTGAAGGGTGGACAATGCACTGGCCCAACTACCTGTGCGAAGAAAGAAATTTCACCGGAAAGAAAGTGGGGGCGGCGAGATTTGAACCCAGGACCAGGACACGAGGCTCTGATACCATGTTAAGAACCTTGGGATACACCACCTCAAAAGCTAGCTCAAAGGGTGGGAGTGCCCAAGGCCTTATAAACTCCACATTAATTGTTCATACAACCAATGTGGGACTATATATTTCTCAACAATATGTAAGTTATCAACTTACATGGTGATCAGACCAAATACAATATGGGCTGGCCAAAGTATATCGGGCCTAATCACACACGGTTGATGAAGATGTTCTGCTCCTTGGGTTGGAGGTTATTTGTGATGATAAGTTTGCTCTGGACCTTTGTTGATGCGATAGTTGAGACTGGATGGGGAGTACCTGCAATGACACTCTGATGCTTAAGTCAGTATCAGTTGTAGGTGTATGTGTATTCTTATTGAGATTAGATTATTCTATCTGGGCATGTACCCTCTGTTTATATAGCAGATCTGATGCTGCCTTCAGAAGGCGGTATGACTTCTGATTGGCCATTCATAGGCTGTAAGTTTAGCTATAGCCTTGTATCTTAATGCCAGGCTATCTTAATAAAGTAGCGGTGAGCTGGTGCTGTCCTCTGTTTATTAGTACAAAGGTGTGGTGGGTTCGTATTAGTTCTTAAGATAGCTTCCTTACTTCTGAAGTTTATGCCAAAGGGCGATTTCATGCGCGATGGGGACATCGCGTCGCGTCATCCGGGATGGTGTCCATCGCGCTTAGTTCTGGGCCCTTTTGAGATTGGGCTTCGTTGTATGTCTTTGGGCCTTTAATGGGCCTACTATATTTTATCCAGATCAGTTGCTCCCTAGCTTACAGTTCTGACATGTGGCAAAACTGTGAGGTATATATATATGTGTTTGTGCACGATAGATTTTTTTTTGGGCGCGATCATTTGATGCCGCAATGATCATGTTGAAGAGTTATCATAATTTAGCCGCTTAAAAACAGTTGATTAGATGTTAACTGTCAGAAGCATTTAATGCTGCCGCAATTATGTGGGTGTTTAATGACAAGCGTGGGCTGTTTTGAAGAGTAAACATTTTACCTTCTCCCCACGTGTCCCTTTTAATCCGTTTTACTCAACACGTTTTTATCCTTTTGGGTAGCCATTTGGTAAAGATTTCATATTTGTACTGAGCTATTCGGTTTGGAGGGAAAACACTTCATCGTGACTGTAAGAGATCCTTCTTTCCTTAGCACTCATTTGCTTCCTTTGCTCTTCCGGTGTTGACACGTCCTGCTCTTGGTTAGTTTATCTGAAGTATAAATCTCAGGTATGCTCTTCATCCTATTTTTACTACTTTGTCTGTTTTATATTTTACTTTGAGCTTGGGATATGTCTGATAATCGCAAATTTGTGAATTTTATCAGATTATCCGAGCGGTGTGGCTCATCCAGTCCCCCATCTAGGTCGTTACCTAGGTCGAGGTCATTTGGAACTGGGGAAGCATGGCTTGCTGACAAGTGTGTCGCTCCCTGGAAGAAAGTAATCATAAATGATAATCGTACGCCTTCTGTTTGACAGTTTGAATTTGGTTCGTCTTCGCGAAAACCTAATCGTGAAAACGCGAAAACTCTTTCTCAACAAAGTTCATCTCTTTTTCCTCCAATTTCCCTTAAAATGACTGGTCCCATTATGATTTCGAATGACTCTTCGTCAAGTTCTGATTGTAGTTATAGGTCTGTAAATACAGTAAATCCTGAATTATCCCCTTCAATTTCATTGTGTGATACCTCTTCTCCTATTGCGCGAGATCCTTGTGGTCAAAGGAGTCCAAGTGCCTTGCCCTTAAATGTAATATACCCAGCAGGATATCCTTATAAGAAAAGGAATTTTGACAATTATAAATCTGCATTTGCTGTCTCTTCTTCTTCTTCTGCTTCTACTGATTACTCCTCTTCTAAATCAGATTTCGTTTCGCCTAAAATTAAAGAGATCATGGCAAGGCGCGGTACTGGAAAAAAGCAAAAGCTAAATCCTGCTACAAAGAAAAAAGCTGTACAGACTAATCCTGAGGCGAAGAAGAAAGCGTTCAAATTGGTCCTGATGAATCCCCGATCAAGCATAATCTTCGGGATGAGGAATCCCTGAACTGGGTAGCGGATACTGTATTGGATACCGCTTCCATTTATAGCTCTCCAGAAGAATTGGCACAATTAAAGGTTGCCATCCACATCACCCCTGACAAAGCTTTTGATGACCAGTGGGAAATAGATGTCGTCCCTTTAAACGAACGCGTTTGTTCAGCGCGCGCTGAGGGATCTTCTAGGCATTACATGATGATGTATGCCCACTTTTTTCTATCACTAGGAGTTCGTCTGCCGTTCTCCTCATTTGTTTGTAGGTTGTTAGCGCACATAAACGTGGCGCCTTCACAATTGACGCCCAACGCCTGGGGTTTTATACGAGTGTACGAGATGGTGTGTCAGGCATACAATTTGTTTCAATCTCCAAAGTCTTTTTTGTTTCTGTTTAACGTGATGGGGCCACATTCCAGTTGGGTCTGT